GTGACAGTTTACTCAAACACGTGCGTACGCTTTAATTAAGAGTCAATTTTGGATAAAAACTATCTTTTTTTTACAGAAGTTGGGTATCATAATTGGTATAATTGTCTTTGCTATAATATACAAAATATGGTCATCGCAAAATACCGAGCCTCCACACATCCCTCGGTTAGATCCTGACGAATGGGGCCTAACTAAACAGTTGTATTGGCTGCGAAACAATTGACAATCGCACTACCATTACGTGACAGTTTACTCAAAGATGTGCGCACGCTTTAAGAGTCAATTTTGGATAAAAACTATCTTTTTTTTACAGAAGTTGGGTATCATAATTGGAATGATTGTCCTTGTTATAATATAACAAAACATGGTCATCGCAAAATACCGAGCCTCCACAAATCCTGACGAATGGTGGGGGCCTAACTAAACAGTTGTATTGGCTGCGAAACAATTGACAATCGCACAACCTTTGTGTGGTAGTTTATTCAAAGGCATCGTGTCAAATAGTGCTAGGTAATTGGGTGTTCGTTTGCCCCCTTCTAAACGTACTATAAAAAATGTATTTAAATTTTTTACATAACAACGACAGAAAGATGATTTGTTACCTCCTTTGTTTTTGTACAAATTCTTTGACAGTGGAAGCCTACTGTAAAATAGTGTTATTTAATGTTTAACATCATTTACGGATAGTTCGATTCTTTTTAATTTATTTCAAAAGTAAAGTATTTTATTAGTTTCCCGTTTTTCACGAAACACATTCGATACTTTAATAAATATAATTAATACCGGTATTAAACAGTTAATTTTAACGAGTTTCAATTTATTTACATACTAGCTGTTGCCCGCGACTCCGTTCATGTAATATTAAGATAAAAAAGTAGCCTGTAAGTTGCCCGTCTATGAAATGTCTATGAAAGTCCGATCGATGTTGGCCCAGCCGTTTCGGATAATAAAATAAATAAAAACTTAAATGCGATTTTCGTTATCAACAACGCAAATATACCATCTTCCCGAAATCTGGATTTCTTTGATACAACAGACACTCCGATTTTATTATATGTATAGAGTATAGATAATTAACCGGTATGTGTTACCATAGCTAAGATGATACGCATATCATATATTATTTTAATTACTTACAATTAATATTAATGTAAGTAATTAAATTAAAAATATAACCTTGTTTCTTTATTTCCAGTAGTTATTAGTCATTTTATATCAATACATTCTTATTGGCTGTTGCTGGCGACTTCGCCCGCGTGAATTTAAAAAAGTAATAAAACATAACCTATGTTACTAACTGATAATGTACATTTTCAATCCTCAAAGAATTTTTGAAATCGGCCTAGTAGTTTTTGGGTTATTTCAATATGTACAAAAATACAAATCCTCTGTATAATATTATTATAGCATAGTTTTAATACGTTTGTTTTATATTTCCCGTTTAAACAAAAAAAATTAATGCAATACTTAACAGGATATCATTTGCACTCGTGATTTTTTTTTTCTTTAATTCTAAATAAATTGAACATAAAATGACTGTGTATTATTTTATTAAAAGTCGTAGACAACAGTATTTTAAAATAAACAAAGTAATTTATGTTACCGAGTTGAAATGTCCATTTGTTAATATTAAGGCTGACCCCTTGTGGCTTTTAATGAAATGTAATTTTAAAGTTAAAAGGTGAAGCATGGTCGTACTTTAATATGTTTAGAGGTACTTTTAATTCATTATTTAAATCAAACTAATATTATAAATGCGAAAGTGTAGATGGATGGATGTTTGTTAGAGTTTGTAGCCTAAACGGCTAAACGGATCTGGATGAAATTTGGCATAAATGTAGAGCAGAGTATTGAATAACACATAGGCTACTTACTTTTGTTTTTTTAATACCACGCGGACGGAGTCGAAGGCGAAAGCTTGTTACCTATAGCTATATCACAATATTTAATAAAAATACATATTGAGTGCTTTAAGGATTGTACAATGTAAATCGATATGCAGTTGAAAATCTATACATATAATGAAATAGGAGTGTCTATTTGTAATATAAAAAGATATATTCCAGATTTCGGGAAGATGATGTATTTGCGTTGCAGATAACGGAAATCGCAAAAGATTTTTGACTGTCTGTCTGTCTGCAAGCCGCGTTTGTTCGTGTTTGTTATGGTTCTCGCGGCATACACTGGTTTTGTTTTTTATTTTCATATTTACTCGATAATTCTGCAACGGTTTAACATATATTATTGAATTTTGTTTTTCATAGTTCGTAATATTCCGCGAACAAAGTCACGGGCAACAGATAGTTAAGAATAAATGTAGAAAACTGGAAGAACACATAGACTGTTTGTTTTAAATACCACGTTGGCGAGATTTTGTATGGTAACAAACATATCACATAAATTCGATGGCCTAAAGATTCAATATTACTTTCCATGCGTTTACTTTAGACCTTTTCTATTCTGAGTGCCAATTTCGTTTCCTAGTTTCCATGTAAAATTAGATTTCCGCAGTCCTATTTACACAGCAGTTAACCTCTTTCGCTTACCGCTCCACTTTCTAAATATTATACTCTTTATTCGTAATAAGACCTAAAAGCAGTTAAACAATAAAATATTCTGTATATCTATTGTTAGGAACAAAATTAGTACCGTGCTATAGAATTGGCGCAACTCTAGATTATCGGCATAAACGTCACGTCCCTAGCTGACAGCTGTCAATGTCACTAGAAGTATGGATATTCTGGCGCGCATCGAGAGTCTGGCGAGAAGTATTGCTCTGAGTTTAAAGCGACAATATAATTTAAGTTGACATTATGGGACACATTTTTTAAAATAGAAAAGAATAAAACTTTAAAATTGTTCTAAGAAACGTTTAAAATGTTCTCAAAAAGAAATAATAAGAATTTCAAAGTCGTATCCGAACATAACATTAACTATTTCGAAAATTCTTGTAACCATACGAATATTTAGTCCACTGCACAGGTTTAACTGTACAGTTAAGACTGAAAATGTCACGGAAAATTTGACCTATCTCTTAAATGTTTTGCCTACACCTCAGATCTAACTGTACAGTTCTAATTTAAAGTTAAAATTATTATGCCTAAGTTTAGGAACCGCTGTCCGTAGTCTAAATATATTCAGATCACGCACAGTTCATCAAAATTTCTGACATATTTTAAATATATTACGTTTTTATTTCAAGCATGTATAAAAATGTTTTTGCAAATTTTATTCGAAATTCTTCAAGTGACGTGAATATCAAATGGTTATTTAAAATTATTGTCATAATAAAACGAAATATCATGTTTCAATGCGCTTTAGTTGGTTTTTATTACTTTTTTATTATTTAATAATTAATATAATTTTCATATTATTCCAGGATATCTCACACAAAGCCCACAGTTACTATAAAATTCCTTTCCTGTAACACGTATGTTATACTAGTTGTTGTTTACGACTTCGTCCCAGAATAATAAAAAATAACCCACGTTACTAAGTAGTAACATAACCTTTACTTGGTGAAACAATTTTTGAAATCAACCCAGTTTTTTTAGTTATTTCAATACATACAACGATTTTTTTCTTCTTTATAATACTGGTATTTTAAAGGGAACACGATGTCATGTATGTCTTTATACATGTTTGACTACAGTGTAAACTTACTTATACAATTGTCTCTATAATCATTCTGCGACATTTTTCACTCATTTTGTATAGTATTTTAATTATTCTGATGAACTGGGTCTTCGCAATACAGGCTGTGCCTAGTGCGAGGACCCTGGGTTAATTCTTTGTAACATGTTTATAGTTAATTTCGTGACACTAAAAAAGTTAAAAAACAAGAAAGTCTCAAATTGAAAAACATGTAACTAATTTAATACAAACAAAACAACAAATCCACGTGACATTTGAATACGACAGTCGTATATTATTAGTTTATTGTTAAATAATTAAATTTTACGACAGCCCGTCGCGTCATAATTTACAAAAGCAATACTATTGGGCTGAGTATTTGTAACGCAAATCGTGAGAGAGACATCAAATAAACTCATTTATAATATCACGATTTATAATTTATACTAAGTAGAGTTTTTAAAAGAGGATATGCGTAAGGGAATGATTTCAGTTATCCAAGTATGGAAGAGACTTACAACAGAATAGTGAAACGATTAAATAAGAGTCTGAATGGCCACGGTTAAACCCAAAATATCCAGTAAAATTTTAGCATCTGTCAGATTGTAAGCGGAGATTAAGCAGAGTTTAAAATTCTTTTTAATATTCCACGGTAAAATTAATAGAATCTTGCTATAACGACGGCAATCAACATCTGATGTTTCCGGTTGAAATTGGCCATCGAATCAGTCGTCATTATAGGATTAAATTCCCATAGAACAGATTGAACCTTAGACCGATCGAAATACTATTAACATATATAACATATATACATAAATATACTAGTTTTCACCCGCGACTCCGTCTGCTGGAAATAAAAAAATAAGTAGGCTCTGTGTTCTTCCAGCCTATGCTCTACATCTATGTCAAATTTGATACATATCTGTTCAGCCGTTTAGACGGCAACCTCTTACATCCATCTAAACTTACATTTATATTAGTATGATCTAGAAACATTAATGTATCTCCTTTGTTACAGATATCAGCAATGTGTGTGCACACAAACGGACGGACATAAATACAGTGTTGTGTTTAAAATGATAAAATACGTGAAAATAAATAATTAGGATGTGAAACCATGTTGGAATGCTTGCCCCGGTGGAGCGCGCTTGACATCGGAGAGAGGACGCGATTGTTTTTTGTTCTCCTGCCTCTCTTCTTGCTTCTGTGTGTACGGTGAGTGATCCAACTAGCTCCTCACGACTGTCAGCTGGAATTATAAATCAACGTTTACTCCCGAATATATCATAGCTTCTAAAAAGTCACATTAAGAACAAACTGATTTACGTATTGCCAATAGGTAGACAGATAGACAGACAAGATTATTGTAAACATTGGCTTTCATCAAAAAGCATCGATAGAAATAAAAACCTTAAAATAAACCTTTTTAAAATTAAGATAGTTTTGTTTTGTCACAGTTGAAGTCCACGATTAGACATCTTTGATCTAATCAAATTTTTGTGTTAAGGCATTTCAATCTTGTATTAAGGCATTTCAATCAAAACAATTTTGTCCTTATTTTATTTTTAAAATCATCAGTTACCAAAATCGATTTAATAAACCAATATCAAAAATCGAGAACAAATTACCATTAATAACATGAACTACCGAATTATTTCAAAGTCTAAATAAATTCCAAATCGTCGATCCCATACATCATGCCCACGAAATGAGAGCGTCGCAAAAAAAAACATAAAAAAAAGCAAAAAGGAATACCAACATCACCCTATAATTACGTACAATAAATCTGCAAACATCAAACTGATGGAGCAATTTTCAATAAAAAAGGAACTCAAATAAAGTCCCATCAAATTGGATGAATCATGAATAGAAATCAACTTGTTTGCGTACTATTTATAAAACGGACAAAACGCTTGTATCTTATATGGAGCTGGGAACGAGTGGCCCAATTATCCTCTTTTGAAGTTGTTATGGGTGCTTGTTAAATGTGTATACGATCGTATTACACGGCTTTTTGTACATCAATACGGTACCGGTTTCGATCTTTATTTGTACGCTTTTTTGTTGTTGGATTATATTTTTTGACAACAATATAACCTTAAAACTATTTGATACTACCTTTCGCCCGCGACTACGTAGTCATGGAATTAAAAAAAACAAAAGTGAGTATCCTATGTGTAAGCGTTCTTACAGACTGTCCTCCACATATAGATGTGGTATAGACCAAATTTCATTAAAATCCGTTCAGCCTATTAGGCTACAAACTCTAACAAACATCCATTCATCTAAACTTTCACATTTATAATATTAGTATGATTCCTGTGTAATATGGAGGAAAATTTATTATTTTTAAATAATAACTAAAAATTAAATATTAATTTTATTAAATTTTAAGGTTAGTTAAGAATGAATGTGGATGGCTACAAAGGTAGAGGAAGACCGAAGAAAGTATGGATGGATTGTGTGAAAGAGGATATGCTTAAAAAAGGAGTGGTTTCAGATACGACGGCTGATAGAGATGTATGGAAGAGTAGCACATACTGTGCCGACCCTCCGTAAGGGATAAGGGCAAGTTGATGATGAAATTTAAATTTCAACCGGTATTGTAATCAACACCGAAAGGAAAATTGTCTTATAACATGGATTTTTTATAAAACTTAATCAAATTCAAAGAAGCAATTTGATGAAAATCGAATTAATGCAAAAAGTTTTAAAAACACTTGTTTTATTGAAGAAGCGACCCAATCTCAAACGTTAATGACCCTTACATAATTTCCTGACACAATCTGGCAAGTCTGGACCTACCATTACTGTCGAACCTTTCAACAGGATAGTGTGAAATCACCTTTATAAATATTATTGAAATTTAAACCTTAGCTCTACAGTGCAAGGTTTATTTTGCTACAAACACTTTTACTTTCTGACAGGCCATTATTTCCATTTCCGAAGTAAAATCTCCGCCCCTTAACTGATGTCTTCAAATGCATTTTATATTAACCTTAAAGTTTGCGTTAACATTCAAATAGTTTTGGTACGCTTTTATAACGTTAACGTAAACCAGAATACGGATGTCACACAAATGCGTTCAACACAATTGGATAATTTTTTTGTGCGTATATACGGTTACAAAACGTTCGTCCGTTTTACCATACATCAAATTGATGCATTGGTATATATAAAAGTATATTACAAAGAGTATAGATTTTTATAATTGCGTTTTTATATATATCTAACTAGCTGTCGCTTGCGATTTTGTCCGTGTGAATTAAAAAAATAATAAATAACAAAAATGTAGGTTTTATGACTGGTAACGTAGCTTTTTAATGGTGAAAGAATTTTTGAATTTTGCCCAGAAGTTTTTGAGTTATTTCAATACATACAAAAAAATCTTTCCTCTTTATAATATTAGCATAGATAGCCTCAAAAACTAATTACTGAATAGGTATCAATAATTTTTTTGGTATAAGAAAACTAAATCGTCAGTTACAAATTATAAAATTTAATTGAAACTTACTTCATGTAAACTAACATTAAAACATTATGCAACATTAAAAAATTCTAAAAGCATTTTTGGTTTAACCAAAATATGTTCCTAGAACCAATTATAATAAATTTGTCGGCCGACGAAACAAAGACCAGGGAAGGAATTCTAATGATTTCAGATTCTCTAAATATTCGCCAATTTATGATCAAGGCCTACCTTCTAGGAATCTCGGGTCTTTTATTTTTAAATACTCATTATGTTTTTTAAATAAAATAGTGTCTATACTTAGTTAAGTATTTGACTTTCATATTTCTTTATTGCATCGAATCTTAACGAAAACAAATGTTTTTCAATAATGAGGTATTATTATCTATAGTCTAGTATTATAAAGAGGAAAGATTTTTATATGTATTTGATTCACGTAAAAACTAGTAAACCGATTTAAAAAAAATCTTCGTAATTTATCTAAGTAACATAGGTTACTTTTATGTTTTACTTTCACGCAAACGAAGTCGCGAGCAACAGCTAGTCTTGAATAAAAACAGTAATTATTTAACTTTATTTTTTTTATTATTATTAATAAATGAATTAATAACATCATCATAAACATGCCCTTTTCTTTACGTAGTGTGTGCACATTATGTACTCTTCCATACTCTATCAGCCGTCGTATCTGAATTCATTCCCTTCTTAAGCATATCCTCTTTCACACAATACATGCTTTCTTCAGTCTTTTTCTATTACAGTAAACTAGCATTCGACCGCGAAACCGCGCAGAATTAAAAGCAATTTAACTAGTAACCTATGTGTTCTTCCAGGCTACTACATGTATGCCAAACTTTATAGATTAAACGATTGGGCTGTAAACTCTAACAAACATCCATCCATCTTAACTTTCGCATTTATAATTTCAGTAAGATTTATGGCTGTATTTGTTGTATAAGGTCTAGATTTTCTCCTTTATACTATCTATAGTCTAAATCCCAATGCATGAAACGAGTCAGTACTAAACTATGTTATTTACGGCATAGACATTGTTTACATGACCTAGAAACCTGGCTAGACACAATACTTATGCAATATGCGAATTGTTAGTATTGAAAGGGAGTGCTCTTGTCAACGCCCACAGCGACATCTATCGCTTGTCAGAAAACAACAATACATTAAACAATCTATACTATCTATACTAAAATAATAAAGCGTAAACACACATTACTTTGTGGCGTAGGATGTCAGCAATCGCAGTATGTTTTTGAAATATTCGTTCTTTAATAAAAAGCCCTACTCTTACGACAAGCTTTATGTTATATGTTTTCACGCTATAAAACTTAGTGGATAAATAAGTTGGAAAAAAACCCTCATATGGAAAAGGAATCATAAAGTACAAGCTACCAACATCAAGGAAGCGAAGTTGCCATGGTTTGTCATCATGTCATGTTATTTTGACATTTGCAATTGATAATTTGACAAATTATCAATTGCAATTTAGTTCACCATCATCATCATCACCAGCTCACTATATGTCCCCACCGAGGGGCTCGGAGTCTACCCTAATACTAGGTGACTAGGCCTTAGTCAACCACGCTGGCCAAGTGCGGGTTGGTTGACTTCACACATATCTTTGAATTTCTTCGCCGATATGTGCAGGTTGCATGACGATGTTTTCCTTCACCGTAAGAACGTCGGGTAAATTATGTACATATGAAAATTCGAAAAATCGAAAATCACATTGGTACATGGTGGGATTCGAACCCAAGACCTTGTAGATTACAAGTCAAGTGTTCAAACCACTGAGACACTGCACAACTAAAAATCCAGTAGTGTAACCTCATAGGAATCAAAGGGCGACTTAACAGCTGTGCAATAATTTTTCTTCGAGGTTTAGACTAAGCGCCATCTGCGCTCGGCCACCTCTAACCCGGTGAATCTGTAAATGCCTATTCATGGCAAACAGTGGCAATTCAGTCACAAAAAAATCTACCTTTTATTAGAGTTACTTTCGCTGTTTAAACAAGTTAAGCTTGTACTAGCTGAGGCGCAACAAAGGAAAGTGTTGCGTATGAACAAATAAACCTATTTTCAAACCTATTCAACCACTTACTACCAAGTTAACATGTAACAAGAATACTTTGTACACTTTTTACAGTGGTAGAGCCCGCTTTAACATCTTCGCACGAATGGCCGGCTCGCCTGGTGTAATACCACGACCACACAGAAGACAGGCGTGAAGTGGAAGCAATTCCGCGTACAGTCTGATGAGTGTGGTGCCGGAGGCCTAATTTAGTCCCTTTTCCTTTCCACACTTTTCTTAAGAGGAAAGTATGGAAAGGAAAAGTGGATTTGACGGCGAAGGAGACGCATAGGAAGAGGAAATGTCCTCTCTATGCGCGTCTTCTCCTCCGTCAATCAAGGGTCGGCAACGCATCTGCAATTGCGGATGTTTATAGGCAGCGGTCGCTTTCCATTTCGGTGGATTCAGGTGGCTGCTTGCTCGTTTGCCACCTTATATTATAAAAAAAGAAAAAAAAACTTACACGACGAACTCTACACATGTTTATGAATAAATCGTAGTTGAAAATTACATCTATAGTCTCCTAAATTTACTGTGGAATAATGGACATAGATTCTGTTATAATATACACAATCTTGTCTCGTTTAGTCTTCCAGCTTGCTAATCTGTACTATCATTATAAAGAGGAAAGATTTGTATTTTTGTATGTATTGAAATAAC